ATATACAGGGTGTTCATTTGAAAACTTCCCACCACGGATTTATCGAAAACTACTGATTGAAAGAAAAAACGCCGAGACACGTCAGAAGATACATCAAAGGGGACAACTTTTTAACCAATAACTACTTCACCCCCTTTCACCCTCTGCACCCCAGGATCATTTCCTTGAAAATTTTAAATGACAAGGGGTATCGAGTGATAGCTTGTTTGAAAAGTCTTCCGAAGTCCTTCATTTTGACGTTTATTTTTTTCAAATCGGTCGATTCGTTTTCCAGAAAATTAGAAAAATCTGCATTAATTTTTATTTGTTCCGATAGAAAACAAAAACACACGAAAATATCACTTTTCATTTCAATTACATTTAAGGTTTGCCAAATCCACAATTCGTTTATAATTCAAAACGAAAACTACCAACATAAACAGCAGTTCGAATGATTAGACGTGGCAATAACCAAATACCAATCCCAATTTTTTCCGCGATTTTTTCATCAACACAGATATCCTAGGCGAACTGTTTTTATTGTTTACATGTGTAGTTATTCTCAGTTGCTAGGTGAAAGAAGGAATTGAATTTCCTGTCAGTTACCTCTGTCACAGTTTTCAGATCGTGAAAAGTAAATCATTGATTCAGAATCTATTTCGAAAATGGTTTACACACTAGCCGAAAGAGTGGAAATTATTCTGATTTATGGTGCCCAAAATCAATGTGCTCGGCAAACTGCCGTCACGTTTAATGCCAGACATCCAGATAAGTTAACTTCGCATAGGTATGTTTTGGACCTAGTTACTAAATTTACTCAAACTGGATCGGTTGCAAATAAAAAACGTGATAATAGAAGAGTTTTGGATGAAGCCGCTCAAATTGAAGTTTTAGGTCATTTTGGAATAAATCCTAATACTTCGTTACGCAAAATTGCTGCTGCGACTCATATTTCATTAGGCTCTGTACACACAGTTACTAAACTCCATAAATTTCATCCATTCAAAATGAAAATATTGCAAGAGTTAACCGAAGATGATTTTGATAGGCGAGTGGAGTTTTGTGAAATAATGACTGCAGCGATTAATGATAATACCATTCGTGTGAAGAATGTCTGCTTCACTGATGAATGCACATTTTATCTAAATGGATTTGTTAATAAGCATAACTGTAGGTATTGGAGCAATGAAAATCCGCATGCTTTTGTGGAAGGGCACACCCAGTACCCTCAAAAAATTAATGTATGGGCAGGCATTTTAGGAAACAAAGTGCTTGGGCCATTGTTCATTGATAGAAATTTAAATGGAGACATTTATTTGGATATGTTGGAAACTACTATCAATCCGCTTATCACTGAAACCATTGAAAACCAAATCGAAGAGGATGGAAACCCTACACTTGATGAGGCTCAGATATATTTCCAGCAAGACGGTGCTCCTCCTCACTATGTTCTTCCGGTTCGACAATGGCTAGACAACGAGTTTCCCGATAAATGGATAGGGCGAAGAGGGCCTATAGAATGGCCTGCTAGGTCCCCGGATTTGACGCCATTAGACTTTTTTCTATGGGGCCATTTGAAGTCCATTGTGTTCACTCCCCAACCTGCAAATTTGAATGAACTTCGTCAACGCATTATCGACAGCTGCCATGATATCCAACAACATGTATTTGAAAATGTCCGTCAGGAATTTGAACATCGCCTATATCATTGTTTGGCCACCAACGGGCAACATTTTGAACAATTATTGAAATAAAATGTAATATTTTTGTATGTATTGTTTCGAAAATTCCCAAATTAGGATCAATAATATTTTTCTAATTTTCTGGAAAACGAATCGACCGATTTGAAAAAAATAAACGTCATAATGAAGGACTTCGGAAGACTTTTCAAACAAGCTATCACTCGATACCCCTTGTCATTTAAAATTTTCAAGGAAATGATCCTGGGGTGCAGAGGGTGAAAGGGGGTGAAGTAGTTATTGGTTAAAAAGTTGTCCCCTTTGATGTATCTTCTGACGTGTCTCGGCGTTTTTTCTTTCAAGTCAGTAGTTTTCGATAAATCCGTGGTGGGAAGTTTTCAAATGAACACCCTGTATGTAAATTTGTATTGTTGACATGTCTTTGCTCAATGTAATGATGTACCTAACTGAAATATTGACGTTATTAATCATTTATGTAACCTTTGTGCATTCAAATGATAAAATGAAGGAATATTATTATTATTATTATTGCTTCATGTATCCATGTAGTTGTCGTCACTAATTAAGATTTATTTGCTTCCTCAGTGGAAAGCCGTTGCTGCCCTCGTGGAACAATCGCTGGCATTTCATATTGTATGCCAAGATTATTCAGTAAGGATATGGCATCTCGATAACTCCGATCCACAACAAAAATTTCACCTTCATTAAACCATCCCCTTATGTCTTCCTAAAAACACTTTATTGTGAGATTTTCACTAAACAATTTTACAAAAACGCAACACGTGTTTCGCCATACTTGTCTTCATAAGAGTGAAGACACGCCCGAAGAAGCCATTGTATGGCGAAACACGTGTTGCGTTTTTGTGAAATTGTTTAGTGAAAATCTCACAATAAAGTGTTTTCAGAATATGTTAGTTATGGATTTTCATCAGGTATCGGCCGATTCCATCATATAGCTAAATATTGTTTTACAGGTATACTATTGGATTTCAGCAAATCCAATTAGTGATATGAAAAAAGGTAAGTATTTTAATTTTGCTATTTGGCACGTTTTACAAGTTTTTGTGTAGTCACGTTTTTCCATATAAATCTAGCTTTAATTTTGTAATAGGTTTTATAATATCCATCATGACCTCCTGAAGGAGCATAGTTGTGATACAATTTTAGAATTTCGTTCATCATTTGCTTGCTTTTAATTTGATATCTGCCATCTTGAACTTTTTACAAATTGTGAGTAACCAAATTACACCAAAAAAAGTATTGAATATTGTTGGGAGTTTCAATACGTAATCTTGATATGGAATCAGAATCTTTCAGTTCTTTTCCATTTTTATGATTGACCTCCATATCGAAACTTCTCAAAAATATTTGCCATCTTGCTAATCTATCTCTCAGATCTCCAGTGGATAAGAGTTGGGTTAAGGCACGGTGATCGGTGTTACAGAATAATTCATTTCACATTTTGAAAATCTCTTCCAATAACTAGTTTGGCTTCCAGGTCTCCCTTATCTACACTGCTTCTATCATAATTGATCAGACACAAATATATAAAAACATACACTAATTCACTATTGTTTCATATCAAAATACTCAGCGAGGTCGTAAAACAAATTAATTTGTAAATATTTTTTCATGACGCTTCGGAATCTGGATGGTGTGGTCTCATTTCTAATATTTCCTGGCAATTTATTGCAAGCCTTTATATCCATGGAAATTGGTCCCTTTGACACCAGATCAAGATTGTCAAGTGTGGGATAGATATTGCTGCTAGCTGTAGTTTGATATGGGTGTACATCATTATATCTCGGAAATATATTTCTGGTTCTGTAGATATAACATATCACCTACAGTAGATAGAACAGACTAATGGCAGGATATTCAACTCTGCAAATAGAGGTCTACAGGAGAGTCTGTTTGACGTTTTCATTATAGCTCGTATTGCTCGTTATCACACCTTGTGCTGCCGGCATTGCTCCCCATAGCATTATGCCATACATCAAATTTGACTGAATGGGAGTGAGAATTCCTGTGTCAACAGCATGTAAGGTAATGAGTCGTGTAGATTCATAAAAAAAAATAACCATGAGAATTAGTCTAGCTCGGTTAGCGATACGCACATCGAGATACAGTATTTTTGTTCTGGTGACAAAAAATTGTTTTTTTTAGATTCATATTACGCCTGAGGTTCCAAATTCTACTCATAAAATTAAGTTTTGTTTGAAGGAAAATATATACCACGGCGTCACTCACAGAAATCTTTGCAATTTCTGTTGCAGTTGACAGTTGGATATGTTAAAAAAAATAAAATACATAAGGTAATAGTTATTAGGAAAAACAAGCAACCACAATCTCTTTGCACCTATTCAATGAAAATAAAATGTCATATCCATGATAATTTTCAATTATCTCATTCTATATGCAGCTGCTCCTAACAGATTGCAGTTGAAAAAGAGGGGCCATTTTACGTTATGAGACGGTAGCCTTTCGGGTTGACGTGAGTGCTTTGCTCTACTCACTCAATCGACCGCTGTCTGAACCGGTGGTTCAAGCCGCGAGGCCGGACGATCGATTTTCACTTCTTATCGTTCAACCTGTGCTAGGAATCACATGTTAAAAGGTGAGACCTCGTTAGTTCATTGCTCGCACAAGTTTCGACTTTTGAGAGTTGATGTTCGTAGGGAACACAGCCGGTTAACAGAAAAACAGATTTCAAACAGATTTTTATTGGCTACAACTTGCTGTCGAATTTATTGCAAACTCAATTGGTGGATTTGAATTTTTGACATTTGTCAAATGTATTGTTACGTTTTCCCAATGAGTATAAGCCGATAGGGTAACCTCTGGAAGTGTCTCGAAGCGACGTGACGCGAAGCGCAAGTCGAGTTGATCGCGAAGCGCTAGTCGAGTTGATCGAGAAGCGCGAGTCGAGTTGTTCGAGAAGCGCGAGTCGAGTTGATCGAAATTTTCAGGGAAAATCGAGAGGTATGAGCCTTATCAAAATTGTTTATAAATTAACGTATTCAAAAAACACTTTGTGAGATTTTCGCTAAACGGTTTTACAAAAACGCAACACGTGTTTCGCCATACAATGCCTTCTTCGGGCATGTTTATAAATATAATTATCAAGTAATTTTAAAGACAAATTACAATGTATTACCTGATTTCTCACTGCTGGTCACCCCTGACTTCTCCTTGTGACTAATACTAAAAAGGTACATTGAAACAAATAGTAGCAACTGCCCAAGTAGAGTTGAACCCTGGAGCCACACTTCAAGGCATCTTCTTGTTATAGTCTCCCCAGTTGCCAGTTCATGGATAAGGTTTTCAGCTAAGCGTTGTATATTTTGAGGTAAGGTAAAACACCCTCGAGAGAACCAGCTCTTGTATTGTTTTGTATTACACAATTTTTGTATTTTCATATAGGAGGCAACTATACTTTCTACATACTGCAAGACAAAGATCACTAAAGGTTATGGAATAATTCGTTTTTCTGGCATGTGCTAGCTTTTAAAGAATTATTAAGTAAACTTATGTATTTCTGTCTTCTGATCACAAACTTAAAGTCAAAACGTGCTGGCTAGTTTCCTTTCGTAGATATGGGTACCTAAAAGTTGAGAAATCAACTATTTCAGGAACTTACTTGTTGGTAATAAAAATGACACCTTCTTTTTACGATCGTTTGACAAGGACATTTATTCACTGACCATTTTTTTAACAAAAAACTCAGCTCCTGGCGAAACAAATATTGTCAGAAAAGAGGAGGAAAACCGGATAAAATATTGACATCTTCTCTTCGAACTCCGCAGACTCTATCCAGATCACTTTGTCAACATGGTTGTTCTGATTATTGGAGTCCTTGGTGGAATGATGTCCTCTCTACTCTCGAATCTCAAAATCATACCTGCTTGCCGCACTAAGGCAGAAATCTTAGCCGCACAGATGCAGAAGGCTGTCATTCTTGGCTCACTGCGATTCAGCTCCTGGCGAGACGAATATCGTCAGAAAAGAGGAGGAAAAACGGATAAAATATCGAGATTTTCTCTTCGAACTCCGCAGACTCTATCCAGATCACTCTGTCAAGATGGTTGTTCTGATTATTGGAGTCCTTGGTGGAATGATGTCCTCTCTACTCTAGAATCTTGAAATCATACCGGCTTGCCGCACTAAGGCAAAAATCTTAGCCGCACAAATGCAGAAGGCTGTTATTCTTGGCTCACTGCGCTTGTTCAGGGCACATGATTCTCGGACCCAATGATCACTTACCCCACGGTGTGGAGAGTGGTCACTGGTTGATAATGCTGGCGCGTCCTCCCGATTGTATCGGGGCTTCGGGGGATAGGGCCTGACCAGCGCACACTACGGTGAAAAACAAATAGTATTAGTCTTTAGAAACACACAGTTTTTAGACACGTCAATATAATTTCCAAAATAAGTTTGAGAAGATAAGATTCATCAATACAGTTTCTAAAAAATACTTGTAGATACATTAGATCTACAAAAAAATACAAGTTAATAACATAAAATTCCAATCTTATAAAAATTGACACAAATGTAAAGCCATGAGTATTTCACAAATTATAAATCACATAACTGACATCTATTAAAGTTGAGTACAAGTTCAGGAGGTGACCACAAAAGTGTCTCTTTCTTCTTGAATAACATCGAAAAATTGATCAATTTCATATAATTGATGTTTGGTTAATATTTTCTTCAATAAGTTTTTGAATCTTCTAAATGGCAAGTTACAAAATTCGACAGATAAGGCATCACCTTGTGTATTAGAACTTTCCGTTTGTTTTGGTAAGCAAATTGTTATTCTTGTGGGCAGTATTAATCCCCTTTTTGCTAGTTGTTGGTATTATGCCCTCATTTTTTTCGTCCATTGTTTTTAATACTAAGTCAGAATATTGGTTTTGTGAATTGAATTTTCCTCCTTTTTTGTTGCATCTTGTTAATTTAGCCTCCACAGGAATTTTTTTCATTTAGTAGTGGAATTAACTATTTTTTATCTTTGATGAGTATCCATATCAAATATGTAGANAATGATACACGAATTCAGTATAAAGGTGATGTATTCCAAGAGATGTGTTTCCACCAAACGAATCATTCGAAGTGAGATGCTGTCCGAACCTACAGCGTTGCTTCTGATTTTATTTAAAAACTTCTGTACAGTATGTTCGTCAACGGGAGAGAATCTGAAAGAATTTGCAGTGTTCTTAGTTTGGTACTTTTCTAGAAGCGATGATTGAAATTGTGTTTTGTCAGGGAGGGTAATATTGCAAAAGAACTGATTGATTTCATCTAGATTTTTCAGGTTAGGTGGTAGTTCAGGGTTTGACTTCTGACGCAAGATGTCTAAATTACGTAATGTGCTCCACGTTGCCTTGGCATCTTTCTTCAAAAGAACAAATTGAAGATACGCTTTTTTCTCCCGACGAATAGCAGATGTCGTATACTTCCTCAGTTCTTTATAGCTATCCCATGCTACAATGGTTTCAGTTTGCTTATATTTTTTAAATGTGCGGTCCCTTAAAGATATCATCTGACGGATGTTGTTCGTCAACCAAGGTGCGGGTGGCTTGGTAACTCTGATATTTCGAAAAGAAGCATGGAGATCAAATAGAGTAATGAGATTATTGTTGAATGTTATTACCATGTCGTCAACGTTATCCAACCTGTATATTTCAGTATATTGCCTCAGGAGTTAATTTTCTTCTTTCAGGTATGCTTCTTCTGATAGATATACATTTTTATTCAAATTATCAGCTTGTGGTACAGTGTTTGCACTCTGTTTTTTTTTGCTTGCTAGATTGTTCTATGCATGAGGGATGGAAAATTTGTGCACATTTGCTGCACTTTATTTTGTCTTCAACAATTTTTGAACAATGTTTACACTGTGTTAATTCAAGTTCTCTGGAGAGAAGTGACACAGCACCTTCTCCTGTGGCCTTCTTGATATAATACGTTTATGAATCTAAATGACAATTCTCCAAGTGACTTTTTTGTTTGACCTAAGAAAAGTACAGCCAACCTCTCAAATATTGTAAGCAGAATTGGAACAACACAAAATATAAAATATCAACATTAAATGTGTGACATACTTGCTGTGGTCCTAACATAAAGTTTATACTTATTCACTAATTGTTTGTTAAGGTTTCACTGTACATTTATGTATTCTTTTTACCTAATTTTAATGTCAAGACTTTTTCAATGTCATACTTTGTATAACTTATTTGAGAACCAATAGAATAGAGATTGATAAAATTAGATAATGAAGAAGGAATTCCACAAGTAAGTGTTTTGGGGTCTTTACTATATGTAAAGAATATCAAAATATGGAATGCAAATTCATCAATCTCTTTGTAGACGATACCTTAATTGAGTACTCCACTTGCAATTCCTGTATTGTGTTGTTTATTTATTTAGATTTTTGGGATAGAAAGGTTTTGACTTTCCACTTCTCCATCTTTATACAAAAATGTGGAAGGAGGAAAGCAATTAAAGTAGAAAGCCAAAATCTTTATTTACCCAAAAGTCAATCTGTATTAAAAATATACCCCTTTCAATTTATTTATAGTTATGTAAAAAAATCAAATACAAAGCATGACGTCTTGCTACAGGTAGATTGTCAAGAAGACGACATTTTCAAGTCTCCATAAGTAATATAGCAGTTATATAGTGCAGCGCGCTACGAGAAACGCCAGTGAAGATCAACCTCCAAGACACTTGTCCATCTGCCATACACAGAAGATATCACCAACAGAATCGAAAAAATTCTATAGGAGAAAATCAACACCACCTTCAAACCAAGAAAATATCGGAGTATCTGAGATCAGCAAGAGACAGCAGATATCTACTTAAATCAGCGAGAGTTTACAGGATTCCATGTAACCGTGGTAAAATTTATATCGTTCAGACGAAAATAAGCATTGATATCCGCCTAGTCGAGCACAAGCGGAGTTACCAACCGGAACAGACTGAGAAGTCTGCAATCGCTGACCGTACACTGTCCGACGGGGAACACAAGATCCTTTTCGAAAATACCGAGAGGCTAGCAACGAAGGCGCCAAAACGAAGCCATAACACCCAAATCGCGCGGGAAATATGCGCAAACCCGCCATTACAGAAAAATCAGTACTATAAATGACATGACAGAAATGATAGCTTCAGGTTCAGTTGAAACGTCAAAAATAGTACTTCGACCACAGCACTGAAGATGTCTGCCCTAGTTGCAGTTGAAACGTTTGGAGATTTTAACTAAAGAAGACCACGGCAAAACCTGGAAACCAACCAAAACATTTCTATTTTTTTATATAGATCTCATAGGCAACCACATACATGAGCAATACTCCAATATCAATCTAACCACCAAGGAATAATAAAGGGCTCTTATGGAATAAACATTAGTGAATTCTCTTATGGTCCTGCACACAAAGCATTTTATTTGTCGTCCTATTGATAACCTGCTCATAATAGGCATATTATTATTATCATTATTACTATTAATGAGGATGAAATCAATCTTGGTGTCAAAAAGAACACCAAGGTCCCTAACAATATTTGCCCTTGTGAGAAGTTTGATCATCAATGTTGACAAAATTGAATATGTTCAAGTGATGATAAAAAGACATAGAATTGAATTTATTTACATTCAGCTCCATATAGTATTTGAAGCACCATTCGACAATTGAGGTGAGGTTCTTTTGAACATTCTCACAGTGTTATTTAATGATAACACAGCTAAAGATTTCAAGATCATCTGCAAGATTAAGATATTAATCAAGAAGGGGCCTAGGTGGCTTCCTTGTATCACTCCTGACGTAATGTACATCTCCTCAGATCTGAAACTCTTGACTTTCACACACCAATTTCTATCTTGAAGATAACTAGCAATTCAGTTCAATAAATTTGCGAAAAAACCCTATTGCTTCAAGTTTCCTGAGCAATAGTTTATGATTAACTGTGTCGTATGCCTTGGAAAAGTCTGTATAAATTACATCCACTTGGTACGTTTGTTCCAAGGTATTCTGCACAAATTGAGTTAACGTTAGCAAATTTGTAGTTCTTTACCCAGAAAAAACTGTGCTGCTCTTGTATAATAAGTTGGTTCAACGGATTTTTTATTTGATCACAGGTCAAATTCTCTAAAAAATTTGGAATTGCACTTAGAATTGTGATCGGTCTATAATTTTGTGTATTTGCTTTATCCCCCGACTTGAATATTGGGGTGATAAAACTAGATTTTCAAGAACGTGGAAATTGCCCTAAGTTCAGTGATGCAGTAAATAGTAGGAACAAAGGTTTTGTCAAGGTAAATCTACATTTCTTCAATAATAAAGAGGCTATTCCGTCAGGTCCCTGATCTATGTTTGGGTAAAATTGATATAATTCATTCAATGCGGTTTCCGAGTTGATGTTACAGAAATTCATATTGATAGTTTTTTGTACTTCGATTCCAATAAATAAGCATCAGCAGGAAGTCTAATGAGCATTAGCGGAAAATCTCTTGAATACACATCTGCAGTTGCACAATGATCCAGATATAATTCCTGACGAGAGCTGGATGAAAGATAAACCCCTCTTATAATTAGTTAATTGCCGTAAGCATATACGTTGACAGATATTTGTTCCACATTATCTTTGTTGATATCTATGAAGTTTTTGGAAAAATGCTTCTTAACCGCTACAAGAACGCCTCCGCCGCGAAATTTTTGAAGTGTTATTATCGACCGATCTTTCCTATATATATTGTATTGAAATGAACCAATTTTCTCAACATGGATATTTTCATAGAGCCAGATTTTAGTTCTAATAGAATAGAAAAGAACTTTATTGCGCCCATAAAAAATACAAATATTTTGGACAAGTCACCTATTACATTGCACAGTTACATAAAAAAGCTGTAAATGTAACAATAAAATAAAATGTAGAGTATAAAATGCATTTTAAAAATTCTTAACGTATAAAGAAACAGGAATAAAAAGTGGAAAAGATGCACTAGGTATCTCCAAGCGAATCCTTAAGAGTAACATTGAACTCACTCAGAGTATACAGGCTCATTTTAGTGAGAAGTTTTTTCACTGTATTTCTGAAAAGTCTGAGTGGCAGATGTTTGATTTTTTCAGGAAGTAAATACCTCCAATACTTTGGTAGTATATGCGCAATATGTTCTTTCATTCTGAGAGCTACCTGTAGTTATTGAAAGGTCAGATTGTTTTCTCCTTTTTCCTTCCTATTATTGCCAAAGTTCGATTCAATGTCACTGATGAATATATTAAAGAGAAAGAGACCAAAATGAGGTTCTTGAGGGATTTTAGGTGTAGTCATAAATGTTTTTGAAATTAAACTACCGATTTTGACACTTTCAGTATGGTTTGACAAATAGCTCTGAAACCATTTTAAAATATTTCCAGTGATTCCTATTTCATTTGAGACAAGGGTGAATGAAATGTTGTATTTATTTGCTGGAATAAACAAACATATACTTTTTCTAGGGTAAAAATAAGTAGAAATCTTAAAATGTAGCAACATAATTTTCATTTCTTGACTTTGACTTTCAACGATATTGCAACAATGAAAAAATTTTACTGAAGTGATATTTTTTCCTGAAATAGTACATTTTCCAATAATTTCGACTTTTAAGTGACCCCATCGTTGAAAGTAGACCTGGGCGTCAAGTTTTGTCTTCAGACTCATGATCAGTAAACAGAAATACATAAGACTCAGGTCCAATTAATAACGAGCGAGCCGGAAAAATTGATACTCACTGTTTGATACTATTACATGTAGGATTTGAAATGGAGTCTTAAATAAAATATTTCAAGAATGATTACAGAACTAACCTCTTTAACCAAAGTATAGGGAATGTCACTACCCTCACTCTCTGGCTTTCCGAGAGACATTAACAATACTTTCATTTTCTCATCCACTGTGCCCCTGGTACAAAAAACAAACAGTTCGGCAAATCTCTCCAAATCCACTGTATTTTGTCTTTGATCTCCTATTCCAAACAAGTAATTATTAAGGTATTGAAGTAGTCTTGCATCCATTTGGGAACCCCATATTTTCTTGAAAATAAAACCTATGAACTGAAAGAACATATGCACATTGACATTCTTACTGCAAGTTCCTCTTCTTTGATTCTTTCTGAGTTTTTGCTGGCCAGCTTGAATGAATTACTAACAATGAGTTGTTCATCTTTGGACAGAAAAGAGCACTTTGCTGCCAATTTTTTACTGCTGTTCACTCCCATGATTTTTGTCTAATTGTTTTCTATATACATCTATAATTTACCAAAGGGATTCATATGAAGACATATGTGGCCCTTCATCACTTATTGTAAATTACACGTAAATGATAAAATTTCTCAAATACAAAAATGATTTTTTGAATAAAGTACAAAAAGACCTGATGTCCTCAAGATTGACTACACTTAAGCATCACCGAGCATGAGCACTGAAAGATAAGTAGTTATGTCAGCTGATTATGAGTATGTTGTTTTTAAATATATGAGCGATCTCATCTGTCCACCTGGACTTGGACAATTATCCGGTATCGAGCAGTCGTACTTATAAAATCCGAACGCACCTATTATTGATTTAGGCACATTTTCGCGATATCAGAATATAAGGTGAATATACCAACAAACATGGAGTTCGGAAAAAAAAAATAGTATAAAGACGCAATTATTGTCAACCTGAATAAAATGATTTACAATTGATGATTAGTTCAAGACTCTGTACATAAACATTTTTTAAACTAAGTAACTTTCACAGAGCTTTATGTCGCACGCGACAGATCTACTCCAGCATCAAAACGTCGCCGTCTTTTGAATAATGCTAAAGAGCGATAATTTAGAATTAAAGATGAACTTGCAAAAAAATGCATCATTTTATGATATAGAAAAGTCCGAAGAAAAATTAAAAGAAACATGATTTTCATAATAGCCATGTATTGAAAAACAGCCTCATATACAGTATGTGTCACATAGAGCTTACATTAGGAGTTTGACATGAAGGATATGGAGGAGTGAAGTTATGAAAAAGTTTCGTACTGTAATAATTGACGATCGGGTCTGAATTAGCGATCCCTATATAATGATATAATAATTATCTTAATTATACTCGCACAAGAAAAATACACCCCCTGTATATGGGATCGTTCAGTCGAAGGTATTACTTTTGAATTTAGTTTGATAGCGCGATAGTTGCTTCCACCAGATCAGAAAAGGTTTGAAATCCGTTCTGATCACACGGATTGAGAGTTAGTGGGTGACTTGGTCAACAGGTAAGATTTTTACCTTTTTATCTTCACAAAGCAACGGCTTGGTTATGTCACCAATTATGTCCTCAGAGACTGAATTCGGCTATGGCTTAAATGCATGGTCTTTTGAGGGTTCGAAGGAATGAAATAATATAAGCAGAGTTTTCACAAGCCAAATTTATTGATAAATAAAGTAAGCGGAATAATTGGATTATCAATAGATAAAATAAAATTAACAAAAATAATGACTGAAGTTAAACCTAAACAAAGCAATATTGATACTCTTTCCTTATATCATGATTTACTAAACATTATTTGAACTGTGTGAAATTTGAAAGTAAATGAAATATATACTTATAATCATGTGAAAGCCTATAAACAAACAAGTTTTTACCTAAACTCTAATAAATCTGCTGTAAAAACAAAATGAAACATAACTATGAGGAACTATTACGAGACACATTTTATCGCTCCTCCCTGTATGACGTAAGATGAACAGATTTTTAACAAAAGCGAGCTGTTCGGTATGTGTGCAGTGCAAAGTTCCATGAATAAGGGTCCTACGGGCAAATCTCCATCATGCAAAGGCTGCATCAACCATTGTTTTCAGAGGATTTAAATAAGACAAGGGCGTGTATAGGACATATCAACAAGGTGAATTGTATTCAAATATCGACGCTGCGCATTGGCGATTTTCTTTCGGCACTCCTGTTTTAATGTCTACGGAAGAAGGGAAACAGCTGGGCAGTATGCGTACTTATCTGGAAAGATATGTTCACCACAGAACAAGATTTGGCTTACTCGCCTACTAGTAAGATATAAATATCCAATTAATAATTTCATAAACTACACCTCACAATTAGATCTCCACAAACTTTATTTGATATATTTTTCAAATAAACTTTGTGGAGATCAAATTGTAGTTTATGAAATTACTATGGATCTTCATCAAGTAACGGCCGAATCAATCAGAAAAAAAATCCAATCAATAATAGAATGCGATGTTAACGCTCACCACACGGCATGGGAAAGTACCGAATTCAAGAAGTGAGTTTTACTATTACAATATATCTTAGAGAAAGGGTTAGTTATAATAAATGAAAGTGAAAATCCTACCTTTGTCGCTTCTGCTCGAAGAGAAGTCTTGGATCTGACAATAAGTACGAACAGGATAAGTGATTGTATAGATGAGAAGTGGACGGTATTGGGTGAGCCATCGTGCTCCGATCACAGGCATATCCGATTCTAAATAGTAACACCATCCGTTGTGGTTGCGAAGGTCGGGAACCCACGAGAGATTGACTGGAAAGATCACATAGAAACACTCGACAGGAAAGTCGCAATCATAAGGGATGCCGAAAAGACCAAACATTATAGACGAAAAACCGTCTGGTGGAATCAACACCTCCAAATATAAGAATCGAGGTGCGAAGGTTGTTTAACAAAGGCAAAGGAAACCAATACTGGGGCACGTAAAATTAAATCAGTTCAACAAAGAAATTCGAAATGCAAAACAAGATTCATGGAGGCGGTTCTGTGCAGAGGTAGAGGAAACATCTACGTGTGCAAAAATCCACCGAATACTTGCCAAGGATACTTCTGCCAGCACAGTTGGTTTCCTCAAAAGAGGAGATTGAACCATCACAGAATCGGAGGAGAAAACCCTGAGGCAATGCATTCTCCAGCGTCATCTGAATTTGAGGTATCTGTTGAAATGGTCTCTCTCCCAATACGGTAGAGCGGGCTTGTGGATACATTCAAAATGCATGGCAACAGGTGAAAGTTGAAAGTAGCCTTTCTGCACAAAATTCACAAAGAACTAGACCGGACACCCAACTCATACAGACGCATCAGTTCAACTTCCTCTCTTATGAAAACCATGGAAAGGCCGCTAGACCAATATATAAAAGACGAGACACTCAAGAAAAGACCTCTTAGTTCTCGTCAATATGCATACCAGGCTGGAAAATCGGCAGATCTAGCACTGGACGATGTCAACAAGCTATCTATCAAAGTCTCTAGAAGACAAAGTAATTGCAGTAGCCACCTTTCTGAACATCGACGGGGCTTTAAACAGTGCCTCCACGAAGTCACTCATGAGCTCATTGAAAAGAATAGGAGTCGCAAACGTTATTTGCCGATGGATATAAGCTAGACTAAAAAAAAACACTCCTCTAGAAGATGCTACTGTACAGGCAAAAGTGGAAAGGGATTGCCCCCAAGGAGGAGTTTCAATTCCACTGTTGTTGACAACGACCTTCAAGAAGCTATCAGAAGATGGCTTTTATTGCCTAGGACTAGGATATGCGGACGATCTGGCGGTAGTCACAAAGGTCTAATCTGCTGACGTTTTATCAGAGCGCACGCAAATGACCCTTATCATAGCCAAGAGGTGGCGTGAGTATAAAAATCTCTCAGTTAATGCCTCCGTCGTTGTTTACAAGCGAAAGAGCAACCAAAGGACTGCCACCACATGCTCAAGAAAGTGGAGATTTTATTCGACCATAAGCTAACGTAGAATCTCCACATTGAAAAATCAGCCTATCAGGCCAGGATGGCCCTGGGAATGTGTGGAAGTATGTGCGGAAAAAATTGGGGGTTGAACCCAAAAATGACACTATGTCTATATACAAGAGTAGTGAGACTTATCATAACATAGGTGTCGTAACATGGTGGACTAGAACAAGCAATCGGGGACGACTAGGCTACTAAGTGGCAATCAAAGGTTACCATGCACGAGTATCACGAGAACGATCCCAACAGCAGCTTTTAAGGTTCTGCTTGGCCCTCCACATCTACATATCTATATTAAAAGATAAGATCGAGGTGACACACAGAGTGCTGCAAGGGCCAACTCCAATTAGCCAGTCGCACGGAAAAGAAACCTGAAACAGTACAACGAACTGGGTATGTCAGAGGATAATAGTATCGTAGTACAGTTTTTATAAAATCTTCAAAACTGTCACTCAAAACAGAGAACTGGCATATATGGAGGCAAAGCGAAGACGAGAATCGCACTCAGCCTCGGACAGAACGCAACAGTGTTTTAGGCAGAAGTTGTCTCTTGTCTCTATCCTTAGACAAGAGAAGGGAGAGGACGCGTAACTAGCAATCTAAGCAAGCGTAATAAACTGTGCCGGTTCTCGATCGTCCGCCATTAGATTGGTGACTAAAGCTTGTGTGACACCACAATTATTTTAGCCATTTTTATTGTGATTTATAACTGAAAAGAACTTTGAATGGTAGTTTGTTACAATGGTTATTTGTGCTGCACACCGGTGTAAAAGTAGTAGTAACAAAAAGGAACCAGATATAACGTTTCATAGGTAAGTAAAAAAATCTCAAAAAATAGTTGTTCTGTTTTATCATATCTCAAGTTGTTTTCTATTATTAATCAATTTCGTATTTATACGGTACGTGTCCGGCATTGGGACACGTACCCCAATGCCGGAATCATAATTATTACCAGTTGAGTTTGTTTATTTAAAATTTTCATTCAAGTTTTGATAATTAATCGGTTTCAAATCATCAGATGAGCTATGATTCCAAGAGGCGTGTAGTACGAGATTTTTTATGGACGTTAATTTATATAATATATTATACTTTGGATTTTTTATTATTGTAATGTATTAATTAATGTATTTTGATTTCCAATAAATCAACTTAATTTTGGTTGTTTTTCAGATTTCCTGCGGATCCTGAAAAAAATAAGACTAAAATTTACTTCATGTGATACTTTATGGTAGGAATTCAGAACACTTTTTATTTTTTGTCTGACTCAATTAGTTTTTGAGATATATAGCCTGTCAAAGTTTGTATGACGTCATATTTTACTTTTTTTAAAGCAAAAGACGATTGCAATTACAACTTTTTCCATATCATCGCACCTTTTTCTATCCCTTTTCAATCACTATTGCCAATTTTCCTGAAATTAGAATGAAATTTCATAATTTTTCACATGCATTCTCTGTATTAATATTATTATTTTGAGAGATTTTCGTTTGTTTCATGACGTATCGTGTTGGTATTGTCTCGAAGTTGTTGCAATGTTTTTTTTTTAATGTATCTACTATGTCTGATGGTTTTTAAAATAGTAATATTAACACGAAGAAACTACTTTTCGAGCCCTGAAGAATAATTTAATTAAATTCGAAAAGTCGGCAAGAACACAATTGTTTTTTAAAAATAAATTGATCCTGTTACCAAACCTACCTTTCTTTAGAAAAATTATTGGATTACTAAATTAGTTTATTTAGTTGAAATTATGAATTTATTAGTTAAGTTTTAATTACTACTTATTATATTTTGTTATTTTCTAACAAGTTTATTATAAATTATGTAATTTATCTATCTATCTATCTTCACATTTAATAACTTTCATTTATTGTTTCTTGCTGCTTATTTCCAACATAATGTTACGCCTCTGGTCAAACCATATTGGTGCCTGAACGGAACACGGCGCTTGTCACATTACGAGTCCTGTCCCTTCTCTTGTCTAAGACTCTATCGAACACTTGTAGAAAACTATTCGACCCTTACTCCGGAACAACACATTGGGGCCAGTGTTGGCGCCAACGTTGGGCTATGTTGGCGGTATTCTTTTTAAAAGCATCCAGACATTGGAAGTTATTTAAGCCAAGCTCGGAGAGCTCCAAGCAGAGCCAACATGTAGAACTTATTGTGGTCTTTGACTGTTTAATTCCATAAAACTGGTTACGCTTGATAAAGCTCCAAAAACATTAAAACGTTTTCATTTGACCATAATATCTCCTGGGGTGACATTATTTACTTTAAATAATAATAAAGACGACGCGCACTCTCACTTCGCAAACTAAACAACTCAAAAGACTATTTATTACGCGCCAATGTGTGGCCGAATACACAAACATGTCTCGTCAAAAAACCGTCACAAGACGGCCAACTCCCTCTTGTTTAGATGATTATCTGCACTCGTTACATTGAAGGGGGACAGCAGTACAAATGCGAGTCTTCTCAAATTTCTTAGATTTTGAGACCAACTGACGAATTTTCTGACAGTCAGTCGTTGCTGAGACTTTGAAACATAACGTACACTGATGATGTCTGCCGCAGTAGCGGACTTCAGCTCGGACTTCCAGCCCGGATTCTGCATACTGAAATATTTAAATAGACAAATATCAAAGTTGGGACATTTATATAATCAATTCATCAAGAAAATCTTTTTTAATATTATCAATGGAATTATTCACTGTGTTTCATTGTTATCCAGGTTTGTACTTTCAGCCCCTCCAAAATTCAGTAGAAGTACAGCAAATAAAACAGACTCTCATTTTTTCATTTCTGTATCCAAGTTGGTGTGGAATATTCAGCTTTTGCAAACGTTTTTCTAATAGAACAATAATACCGGAATTTTTTATTGAATAGAGGAGTCCAAAAGTTGTTCAAAATGGAGACCATTTTCTGCAACACATAATGTCAGTCTTTTTTTAATCAATTCAATATACCTCCATAAAAAATCCATTTTGGTCAGGTCAGGTGATCTGGGTGACCACGCCACAGGCCAACCCTTACTTATCCATTTTTGATTGAGGTATTCCCGTAAGTACATCTGGTTTAAAATGTTGCGGTGCACCTTCATGTTGTAGCCATATGGAAATCCATCCAATAAATTCGAAAACAAATCTTACATTTTTTCTCCCAGTGAGATGCCCATCAAAAAAATACGGACTGATAACTCTTTTTCCAAGAATTCCACTCCAAACATTCAGTGAACAACGATGCTGATGGTTCAAGCAACGAACAAAATGGGGGTTTTCCGTTGCATAATAATGCATGTTATGCCGATCACAGTTCCATTTTTATCAAAAGTAGCTTCATCAGAAAATAACACGAAATTGAAAAAATTATTTTCCTGATTGATCTTTTCTGAGCCCTATCGGCAAAACTACTGAATAAATTTAATCTATTATCCCTTCAAAACCGAAGAACCTACTACTCTATAATTTTCATTTATAAACTAGTGAATAGTCTGATTGACTCTCCCGAACTACTCTCCCACTTCAACTTTTATGTTCCACGAATAATTTTAGAAAGGAACTGACTTTTTATCTACCAAATTCTAGAACAAACATATTACTCAAGTCACCAGTTGTTGCAATGAGCAAACTTTACAATCAACTCTGTGAAAATCTCTACATTCATTATGAACCTATTGGTCAGATTAAGAACCACGTTAAGAAACTTTTACACTCTAGTCAAAATACATGAGCCCAAATTGAATGTTATTCTACCATGTGAGCTTATTACTAATAATGTATTACTGCTGAATTGTTTTTTTTTTGTAATACACTTGAACTATGTTTTTACTTGTTAGCTCTATATCTGACTTATGGTTTTCTTTCAATTACTCTCCTAGCTTGCTGCACACAAGTTTTCCACCTAATTTTTTGCTTAATTCTCCTAAATGTTTACTTTATTTTGTTTTTTGTTTACTCGCTTCAGGTGTTTCTAGTTGATGAATTAGTATTGTATTCATGTATATGTGTATGTATGTATGTATATATGTATGTGTATTGTGTGTATATAGGCAGATATAAAACTGTAACATGCTTGTTAATAATATTAATGTCTTGTTATTGGGATTTATTTCTGTTACCTTCCTTTTTTTTATTGAACATGTTATTCGAAATCTTTTCCTCTTAACTCTTGCATCAATTGCATGTTGTAAGGATGAAATTTGCTTGCTCGTATCATTTAAGACACGCTGGTTTGAGAAAATCCTAATTCCCTGCTCAGGTCTCGGGTACTTACATGGGGATTTTCAACAAGGTGAAGAGCAATTTGAAATGTATCTCTTCATTTGTTACGGGGCAGACACGTTCGAACTTCTCGTTATTGACATTACCAGTTCTTTCAAATTTTGTTTTTAGAGCCTGAAATGCTCTTCCATCTGGTTGTCTTCTTTCAGGGAACTTTGTAAATCCTAGATGAAAGAGGCAGTTTCCGTCACTTTCCCCCAAAGCATAGACCATTGGCACCATATCTTCCAAAACATATAATTCATATTGAAAATGATTCATTCTTCACGCGAAAGAAACTTCAACAAATGTCGTTATTGACAAATTCCGAGATTCATTTTTTGATGTCAGTCATGGATAACTGCAGTATAAATATTCTTTAGGTCATACATATGACTCCCATTGTTGTGATTGTATTTTCATAGCTGACTTGTAGGTAAATAGTTCTGTCTGTGTTTTTAGAATTTAACATTCAAATAGTTATATTATAATTGTATTGAGTGAAATGTGTTTTGAACCCGTGAATAAATAAATTCGAGGGTATTTTCTCATTGAAAGGTTAGTAGTAGCCACATTATTTCCTTTTCATCATTTTATCAACCTATTTTGGATACACAAATACATGCATGTCTGATAATTGATTGACAATACTGTACTCAAACTTGACAGACAGACATAAATTTCCCCCATTAAGTATTCAAGGGACTAGATATCGAGTTCAAATAAGTTCCACATAAAATGGTATCATTTGGAGTATTTTTTTGGTGAAAAAGACAACAGTGTGACGCCACTCGTCACCGAGAAAAGAAAATTGAGTTTTTTGTTTCCGCTGTCTGCAATACCAAACATGTAAGGTATGTTAACAAGTCAGTATTTTGTGGAAAAATAATAGTATTACCAAGTTTTATGAATAATTAAATCACTCCCCGTATATATTTGTAAGGTAGGGGGTTGATTTATGCTTACCACTCCATGAACAAACTAATTTATATTATATAGCAAATGAATGATACTTATTAATATGAGTTTCATTAAAGTCTTGAGGGCATTTATGAACCTTTGCATAAAAAAGATAACTTTTGCGAAAATAAAATTTTTTCTGTCCCACTTTTTTTGTACAGATGACGTTGAGTTTACTTGTTGATAGAGGCATGAACGAAATGGCTTGCTAGGTAATAAAGACATCGACATTGTTGTTATGGGTTTATTTCTAGAGAGTAGAAAAATTTTGAATTTGTTCAATAGTGTCACTTATCTAAAAACAAATGAAAAACGAAAATTAATGATATAGACCATCAAAATTGTACAACATATATTTGGAAAATAATACAGGATTTCGGAATATTTAAATAAACAAAGTTATTTTTCACTATGTAATTATTCCAAACCATAAGATATAAAACTTTATATATATACATAACAAAAACATTTCAGACCATTTCGACAACTATACACACACACCTACACATCACCTTAAAAATAGAAAAATCACCAAGATCAAGTTAAAAATTACAACAATCATCCCATATTTTTCACTTAAGGTAATCAACTGTGATAAAACATAATCTACCCAAGTTTTAATTTCGCCTACTCAGAAACTTGCTCATTATGTAGTGTGCAACAAATGGCCAGGTTATAATAAATATGATGAGCTGGGTCGACATGCCTTGAAAATTTCCTTTCCTCCTCAAAGCCACCATGTTCCTATTGTCATTTTCAAGAGAGGTGACCTTATTTGTTAACCTCTCAATGTCGTTTTTCAAACTCTGCACTGCCCTGGAAATTTCTTGTGATATATCTACATTGGAAAATGACCTAGTTCTTGCTCTTGATACATGATGACTTTGAGCACCTTGAATGTATCCATTAGGAATAACTTCACTTGATATGTAACTTGTAACAGGTTTGCGAGGCTCAGGATTCTGTAAGACATGCTATTTTGGATTACTTATATTTTGACAAATAACAGTATACTAAGTTTACCAAACCAACCATATTGTTATATGCGACATATACTTCTCCATATTTCGAGCCATAAATAATGAATATCAGAAATGCTTTAAAATTTTGTTTTATTTTTAAACTCTACTAGTTCCAACTAATTCTTGATATAAGAATGAAAGTAGGTTGTCAAGGCTGGCGTTAATGTTTTGGTTGGTTTCCAAGTTTTGTTGTGGTCTTTTTTGGTAACAATTTTCAATCTTCTTGACGTATCAACTGATACGTCACTGGTACTTCGACCACGCCACTGAAGATGACTGCCGCAGTTGCAGTTGAAACTTGGAGATTGTAACCAAAGAAAACTACTGCAAAACCCGGAAACCAACCAAAACATACTTCTTGATAGTTGACAAGAACTTATCAGATGTATGTGTTCAGGAACTCTGGGTAATTGATGGACTTCATGGGAATTTTCATACGATTAGATTATTCAGTATATTTTTAAACATTTTCTAGGGTTGTCTCAATGTAATAATGAACACATATAAGAACTAACTTCATTAGCAATCTTTGTTAATAATGTGTTTCATTGTTTCAACTTTCAGGTATTGTCCAGAGTGCTTAGTTATTTGATTCATAGTTTGATTTCTTCCGATTGAAAAAGGATTAGGGGTTGAAAATTGTAAAATGTTATCATGAAGAAAAGAGAATTGAAACTTTCTATGTTTTTATCACTTTTATTTGTAACTAACGTTACTGCAGTTACGTCCTATAAGAACATTTTCAAACTTATACATTAAACACTAACAATGGTTGATTATTACCTATAGGGGTGCTATATAAGGGCTAATTTAATCAACCTTTGTTAGTTTAATGTATAAGTTTGAAAATGTCCTTATAGGACGAAACTGCAGTAACGTTAGTTACAAATAAAAGTGGTAAAAAACATAGAAAGTTTCAATTCTCTTTTCTTCATTATAATCTACTACCACGTAGTAACGGCTACATCCATCAATTTATTAAAATGTTATCTTTTGAAAAATGACTTATAGCTTAGGCCATCCTACTGCTAGCCTAACTTAGAAAATAATTATAAAAATGAAACATACCTCAATTGTATCAATATACTCATCATCACTTCTATCAGAGTCATCAACTGGATTCTCTGGAGATACAGATGGGCTAGATCCTAAACTAGAATCATTTATAGATCCAAATCTGATAGGAGACGCTTCTCTTGAAGCTGAAAAGTAGAAAGTGAAGTTATATAACTTATATAATTCATACATTTTTCCGATTTAATTTCGATAATAGCTTGAGAAATTATTTTATTCAGCTGTGGCACTAGGGAACAACCTACAAGATATTTGATGTTAAATAAATGTTTATTGTCGGAGGATTGTGAATAACATTTTATTGACAAACATTTTGTTATTTACAATTTCTAGGTAAGTGAATAACAAACCAATAAATCACAATATTGCAAAATCAATGTCCTCAGGTCGAAACAGAAAAATTTAAAAACAAAATAAAACATTTGTACTACATGAATTTGTATGACCATCATTCTATAATATAAACAAATGAAACCTAAACTTGAGCTTTTTGCCTTCTTGTAATATGACATGTTGAAAATATCATTCACTGAGAAAAAACTGGAGAGGAAATAAATAAATAAAATTCAAGTAGGTGTAACTTTTCACGAACCAAAATTATTTTCAGAATATTTTTTTTGAGAAATCTCAAACGTTTTCTGAATTTTAATAGCATTTTGGTTTTTGTAAAAGAAAGAGCCCAAAGGAGCTAAGAATGGTTAGATTTGAATATTTTAGGAATAATAAAGCCCTACAGCAGAGTTCAGCTTTCTGGTTTTTATATTCAATATTGTTTTGTGACCCACACTTCAATTCCGTAGTTCTCTTAGGTTTGTAGGAAGATGACTGGAAAAGTTTATACCTCTATATGAGGTATAAAATGATGAGCTATGTGCAGGAGTTCTGATGAGTTGGGTAATCATGGTGAGAAACTCTTTGATGCATGTCAATATGTTGCATAAATATCATTATACATTTGAAAATATAAATACATGGAATTTTTAAAATTTTAAATTTTCGACACAATTCATTTTATGCTGAAAATGAGTTGGGGAAACAAATATTCTGCTTGAGTTACTAGAGCATCCTCAGATGTTGATGACATATGATACTTGGGAGTAGATTAGATCATAATATATATTAATGGGTTGATTGGTATTAATTGCAATATAGCTTAATAACTTGTGCTCACTTTTTTGCTTATGTCATCAATACTATTTTCAAAACCCAATTCACTCTTTATATATGTTTCAAGGAATTTTGTAACTTCAAAAAGATTAATAGTACTGTTTCTGATAACTACTTGAATACCAGTTACAGATTTCCGTCTAGAATGAAATGCATACAAACTGTTTTTTCTGTATTCACTGTCAAGGAATTTCTTTCACACCATTTTATGAATTCGTCTGGCAAAATCATAAAGTTTTTTTGGAAGTCTTCAGGACTATTTGAATTAGTTGCCAATGTAGTATTATCTGATCTGTATAGAGAACTAATAAGGTCAGGTAGATCGTTTATGAATAACAAAAAATAAGCGGTCCTAGAATCGATCCCTGAGGAACTCCCAGGTCTATCTCATAATATTCTGATTTATGATCTGATTCCAACTGATATTTTTCTGAAGCACACGTATGACATCAGCCATGACAAGAAATTTCCACCAAAACCAAGGGAATACAATTTACTTTCGATTATCTTTAGGTCAATGAAATTAAATGCTTTCAAAAATTCGAAGGAAAGTGCTCCCACATGTTTTTTTATCTAGCAATTCGTAGATATATTTGACAAAATTGTATGAATCAGACACGAAATAGGTCATCTTTGAAGAAATTTTGAGGCAACATAACCTGACAGCAAACTGAAAACAATAAAATGTCTCACTTGCTAGGAATGGAAAATGAACCACGACAACGAATTCGCCAAACAGTATCATGCAAAGATTCAAGATTACATAAATGAAGGAAAATTAGAGATTCCAGAAATAACAGAAAATTCAGAGAACTGGTTTCTACTACATTTCGCAGTCTGGAACTCCCATTCTGAAAAAATCAATTTTTTTTTAAAGCTGCAGTCAAATCGTCTAGATATAGCTTGAATGACTTCTTATTGCAAGGCCCAGACTTCGTACCTTCATTGGTATCTGTGTTATGGCGTTATAGACAGAAACGTTGTATTCAGTGGGGGAAGATTAGGGAAATGATCCACCAAGTGATGAATTAAAAGAGTATGGATGTTGTCCACCTTTCCTATGGCGATATGAGAATCACATTGGAGAAGCCCCCCATGTATATGAAAAAATGCAACAACTTTCATAAAGGCAAGAATACTTATGCGGAATGTCTGGAGAAGCAACATAGATTGGGATTTGGAGTAACCTGAAAATTTGTTTCTAGAATGGCAATCGTGGCTTTATGAATTTCCAAGTATTAGCCCCCATTGTTGTGAACAGGTACTCCAAGAATTCCTTGCATATAGAAGGTAGATTGATGTATGTTTTGCAATGCTAGCGAGAGTACATTCAATAGTTGGATTCTTCACTATAAGACATAACAATGATAGTGAAATCTACACTTGTTTTGTAGTTGACAAGTATAAAGTTGCACCACTCATGAAAAGTCAAATGAATTTTTTCTTCTTAATATTTCGAGGTAAATAAAGACTGTGATATTTCAAAGTCTAGCCGACTTTTCACACTATCCCCTCTTTTAGAAGAGAATGGAGTAATTTGTTTGAAGCTGGTCACATCGGTGTGGAAACTGTTATTGATAATAATCTAAGAGGAAAGTTTTGAATCCTACATATTCGTTGAGCTGTGAATTAAAAAAAATTGGCAGGGAGGTCGCATCAGAAAATGATAACCAGTTGCACCTGAAATGGAAATGTTATCAGTGGAGAGTCTAGTATTTCCGTTGACGTATGTTGGAATAGATTTTTAGTTAAAAGGAAAAGAGGTACGGAGTGCTTTTCTTGTGTCTCATCAATAGGGCTGCCCTTATTGAGACTGTTGCAACACTTAACATGAGTTCAACAAATCTTGCATTCCAATTATTTCTTGCCATGAACAACCTAAACAGTTTATCACAGGCAATAGAATAAATTTCATTTGAGCAGAAAGAGAGATCAAAGAAGCTACTAGTCCGTTGGATTTTACGAAATTGGCAGAAGAAGTTACTTACCGGGGTACTTTGTGAAAATTCAACCCTCCAGCTGCTAGCTGGAGGGTTGAATGTATGGGAATGTATGATGCATTCCTTGAAAAAGGCTCTCAAAGTAATTTTAGAAACAGCTTTCCCCAGAGAGAAGTTCTTCAAACTTTGATGGCCGAAATTGTATATAAATTAAATTCTATACCCTTAACTCAAATCTCAGTATACCCTAATGACTCAGAAGGGATCACTCCCAACCATTTTCTGTTAACGAGTGTCATTATTTACAGTGAGAGCAAAAGTGACATATTTGAGAGAAAACAGTGGTGGTTGGCTGAACGTTTGGCCTATTCATATTAGAAAAGGTAGGTCAAAGAATAACGACCTACCCTGATTCCAAGAAGTAGGTGGCATTCCAGACGCGAGCCCACTAAAGTAGGAAACATGGTTGTAGTAATAGATGAAAATGCCTTTAGAAAGCATTTAGAAATGACTGGTTACCGAGTCGCGTCACTGAAATGTTTCCTAACAGAGACGGCGTGGTGTGCGTCGTTCAAATCCTTATGAAAAAAGGCAGTTTCTTCAGACCATTCACTAAACTGTTTATTTTACCTACTGATGTAAATGAAGACTTGAAATCTCAAAGAGGTGGAAGTGACTTTTAAAGGCTACCAGAGAAAAAGCACTCATACTTTGTTATCTGTTCAAGACTGTATATATTGTTGTAAATCATGCCCGAAAGAAAATAACGCCGATCGCCACTGGTAACCATAAACCAAACGTGGCGTAGCTAAGAGCGCGCGAATGCACAATGTTCCCTGCCGCTCTAGAATCAGAAAGAATAATGCTACCGATTTCGACGGAACTTCGGCGGTACGCGAAACGATCGAGGATGGCGATAGACATGCAAATAATAGTTGAAGTTTAGTTGAAGTGTTTGTTGTATTGAAAGTGAAATAAAGTTAAGTTTGATTATTCAGTGTAGTCAATTATTGGTCAACCCACGGGGAAAAACGTAACATTTGGTGTCAGAAGTGGGATAATTGACTAAAAATTTACTGTCTTATAGTGAAAACAAGGAGTGTCGATTACGATGAGATGGAAGAGTTTAAGAAAATGTTCGAGGCTTTGCAAGCGGGTCTGGCAGAGAATGAAAATCGCAGAAGAGAGGAAGAACAATTATGCCGAAATGAAGATCGTGAAATACTACTAGGTATTCAAGAAAAACAGGAAAAAGACAGAGATTTGCCGGTAAATATTCAGGAAAAACAGGAAGGGCAGGAAAAAGACAATCAGATGTACCTTCACTTATTGGAAGATTCATAATCTTCCCAAATGAGTAAAGGGGAGATACAGAAATATGTTCAGGAAGAATTTGGAAAATTATTTCAGGAAACAAAGGAGGGATTGGAAAAAGTAGTTGATGAAAAGCTTGAATGAGTCGGAAGGAAACTTGAAAGAGTCAACAAAAAGTTTGAATAGATTTTCCGGGAACTTCGGAAAGAATTACCGCAACCGAAAAGGATTATTGTGGAAAAATGCAAATCGGAAACAATCTTCCCCTTCTAGCACTAGTTTTATTAAAACTCCAACTTTCGATGGCGAATCTTCACAGGTCAATTTATAGGAGACAATTTGAGGCCGCTGCAGACAATAATGACTGGAGAGATGAGGAGAAAGCAACAGTTCTCATACTGGCACTATGAGGAAAGGCTTCCGAAATTCTGCAAAATATTCCAGTGAATAGGCAGAAGGATTATGAAGCAGTCGTATAAGCTTTGGAGGTCAGATATGGTAGTGAGTACCTTCAACAAGTCTACCAAGATCAACCGAAGGTGAGAACCCAATGTCCATCAGAAAGCTCGCAAGAATTTGGAGCTAAAGTTGAAAGGTTAGTGACTCGCCTACCTAGAAGCACCGGATAACTTCACCCACTGTATTAGTGTCTATAGTTTCATCGACGGGGTTCGTAATACGGAGCTGCAGCAGTCATTGAGAATGGCACGCCATAAAAATTGAATGAAGCTATCATTTATGCCCTATAATTTGAAGCTGCTAAAAATG